GAGGGATTGCTGAAGAGTCAATGAGTCGATGCAATCAGCTGGTTTTCCTTAGATAGAAAACTTTGAATCAATCTGACTGGATGATCTGGTTGAACTGGAAAGTGACCTGAGATGACATGATGTGAATTGGAGTTATAGAAATAAACTATAGAAATAAACTGAATTTAATTGAATGTGCTCCAGCACCACCTAGTGTCTATCTGTGTACGTCCCTGCGTCTGAGGTCAAACCTGAAGAGTTGGACTAAATGCATGAGTTTTCCCAGCAGAACATTAACCCAAACATCACTGTTGTTCCTTAAGTCACAGATGCAGAAACCAACCAGCTATCTACCACTGCAGCCTCATACGCAACAATCTGCAGCGCCGTGTCAAACTCACTCAGCCACTTATCTTACCCATTTTACTCCAGTTTAACACAGCAGCTCTGAGGACAAACTGTTCGCTGCACAACATAGCCCCCCCCCCACCCGCAGTAATGAGATCTGCAATTGAGCGAATGCAGTTTCTATAAAGAAAGTCTCTTTAAACATGACCAGCAGTATGTGTCTCTGATGTCATTTACAGCATATTATATTTTTTTTAAATCAGCCTGCTGTGACCTTTAGATGGAAGCGTATGCGCGTTACTCTGCAGTACAGACTTAGATCTTCCTCAGCTAAAAAGGTCTTTTTTTGTTCCTTTGCACTGTTTCATGTCGTTACAGCATCCCGGGCAATTTTCTCAGTATTTTTATTTCTTTTATCTGCGTTTCAACTTTCTTTTATATTTTGATTTTATTTCTCGGTTACAATAAAATCAAACAGAATCAATAAAAACCTTTCAGCTCAGATTGTTATAGAAATGATCTAACATAGAGAGAAAAATAGACTGAATTTATAAAATAATATATCAAAATATTCCCACACACCACCAATCACCACACTTACAAAGTCAACAAAGTAAACATCCAACCAGAGAGAAAGTCTGAGTATCTTCCAGACCAGCTGCTCTGACACTGCTGTGGGGAAACATGAAAGCAACTGCAGCTTGTTTCTGTAGTGCTAACGGTTTAAAAAAAAAACCGCAATAAATCTAAAATCTAGGAAATGTAGACTCTTGTTGAATAGAGCGACCAGAAATGTAGAAAGACTCTGGAAAATGAGCACAGGAGGGGATCAGAGCTGAGAGATCAGGACCTTGGACAGTTCCCCAGTCCCTCAGAGGGCAACCATGCAGACATAGACCTGAACCGATTAGAATGTTTCTGCACTGTGGACGGAGGCAGGAGTACCCGGAGAGAACCGCTGCATGCACATGGAGGACATGCAAACTCTCCGCAGAGCACAAAGACCCCCAGAAGGCAGCTGACCCCCATCCGACCACTCACCCGGGCGTATTTGGAAGAGTAAGGGTCCTCGAACAGCGCCCACATCCTGGGCTGCCATACTTCCCACCAAGTCGCTTTGCGGCCGTCCTCCTGCATGCACAGCCGCTTGAGGTCTCCGTCCACCCCGCCGGTGAGCGCCGGATCATCCTCCGGTACGTCTGGCTCAGGAGTCTCGAAGCTGTCCAGGGCTTCCTCTGCGTCGCGGTGCTGCCTGTAGTTCATCCAGCAGCACGCCTCCACGTCAGTCTCATCAATGCCCCAGAAGGCGAGCTCCTCCTCGAACAGCGGCCCGCAGACATCATTGGGGCAGTGCAGCTTCCCGGTGCGGTAGTAATTGAGGATGAAGGCGAAGGTGGCCGGGTGGCGGTCGAAGAAGAATTCGTCCGACTTCGGGTCGTAGTCGAAGTTGCTGTAGGCGTCAGGCTCGGTGAGCCAGGACAGGCGCGTGCCGGGCAGGGTCTTTAAAGTGCTCCGGTAGGTCTCGTGTCGGATTCCGCCGCAGTTTATCACAATCTTCTCGCTGTCTGACGCCGAGCAAGTCATGGCTGCCCTGGGGCATGCTTCGGTCCTGCGCCCAACTGCAGTGGATGGTGCTGCGCCTCATCCACCGTCGGTCGCTGCTCGCTTCTCAGTCAGGACGGCGCAGAAGAAGGAGGCCAGCAGTATCCGCTGAAGAGGAGGAGTTAGTCTCAGTGTGAGGGAGAGAGAGAGAGAGACTGAACTCTCTGGAGAGAAATAAAATGGATGGATTTTATATCATCTGTTGATGAAGCTGGATTCAGACAGTTTTCTTTCATTTCACTGCATCCTTTACAGAACAAGATGCTGTAAAAACAGAGATAAACCTACAGGATGTTCAGTCTATAAAATGTAGGCAAGGGAATTTTTATTTAAGGGTTTATTCAGCTTTTCAGAAACCTC